TTTTTTTTTTTTTTTTTTTAGAGGTTTTTGCTATAGGGCACGTGTGCTCGCCAGACACACAGAGACTGAGAGATAGAAAGCAAGAAATCACCCCCCAGAGAGGATGGCGATGCCACAATCCCTTCTCCTCCATTCTCCTCTCGGGATCTTGGGCACGCACGCACGCACACTTGCAGGGCGAGAGTTTCAAGCCACCGGGTCCGGGACGCAAACCGCGGTCAACTACATGGAAGTCCAGCGACATAGCCATTACGCTAACTGCTGGTCCTGATACAGGTATGTTTGAGAGGCTATAGAGATCCTGTTCCAGCCTCCAAGTCACCTAGGACTACAGGCACATGTGACGATGTCCATCTGTGCAGCTTGGTTTCAGAACCAAATCCAGGCCTCCCTTGCAGCCCAGGCTTGCTCAGCAGCACTCTACTGCTTGGGCCACCACAACTGGGTCTCAGATAGATTTTTATGAAGCTTTCTGAACTTTTTAGCATTGAAGTGCGTGCTCATGAGGTAGTTTTCTAAATAGCTACAGGAATTTCAGATACGCTTCATCAGATTCATGAAGACAGAGACATTTTCCAGAAGGCTTCTCACAATGGTTATCAGGCCAAATAAAAGAGGTTCAACTGTGGTTGATCTAATGACTGGTTTAGAAAACTTAAAAGTCGATAGGTTCTCCAAGTAATATGGTTTCTAGATTCCCTGAAGTCCAGGCAATTAGCTCAGTGCTATAATGGAACATATTAAAATAAATATCTTATCACATATGTGCATTCCATAAAAGTGCTTTTAAGAAAATCAGGATATCTGTATTTTTGTTTTTTGAGAGGTTTTCGCTATAGGGCGCGTGCGCTCGCCAGACAGACAGAGAGAGACAGAGAGACAGAAAGCGAGAAATCACCCCCCAGGGGGGATGGTCACACCGCAATCCCTTCTCCTCTATTCTCCTCTCGGGATCTTGGGCACGCATACACACACGCCCGGCGTGAATTTTAAGCCACCGGGTTCGGGATGCGAACCGTCGTCGACTATGTGGGAGTCCAGCGACACAGCCATTATGCTAACTGCTGGTTCCCCTATCTGTAATTTTTTTAAAGCACCTACATTCAATTATACTGTATCCAGTCTATACAATTTTGACTTTCAAAAGTACCAGACCACTTGGATACTTTTAAAATGTTAGTTTGCTAAACAAATATTAGGTTTGTTGATTTTGCTAATTATAAAATAAGTGACAAACTTGAAGTGGAAATTAAAGTATAAGGCTGGGGAAAATGCTATTAATATGTAAATAGGCCTCTCAATAAATTTTCAAAAATACTTATCAGAAATAATCAGACATTTCAAAATAAAGGGAAGAAATTATGTTTGGATTTAACTGCAGAATTAAAGACTCAAGTATGACTATATATGTATGTATGCATATGTGTTTTCATGTATCTTAACATGTCAACAAAGATTTTATAATCTTAATTAATTAATAATATTTATAATAATTGAAAAAATTCCTCAGAGCTTTTTTTAAGAAATATTTTAACTTTTTTTTATTTACTTATTTTAATTTGACCAGCGAGGGACAGAGATAGAAAGAGAGAGAAAGGGAAAGTGAGAAAGCAAGCCACCAACTCCAGGACTTGAACCATGATCGGCCACGTGAGAGTCCAGCGCCCTTAAACACCACACCACCTGCTGCCCCCCCCCCCCCATGTGCTTTTTATAAAGAACAATAATAATAATAAAATAAAAATAAAAATATAGTCTGATAGTGGGTAAAGAACATAAATGTGATATTCATGGCTTTTTTTACTGCATGGCCAGTGCACAAAGCCAGTAAATGTTTAAAATTTTTATCAGCAATTTGAGGGTGAATGCCATGGTTTGAATATGGTCTGTCCCTCCAAAATTCATGTGCTGCATTTGGCTGGAACCACCATCTTCCAGTAATTCACCAAAGTGACAAACACAAAGCGAAAGAGGAGAGGCACCCAATATATGTTCTCTAGGCCTTTTAGGAAACATGGAAACATGGAGTGGCTCCTTTGTCAACATACATGAGAATCTATAAGAAAGGTGATATTGTAGACATCAAGGGAATTGGCATTGTTTAAAAAGGAATCCCCACAAATGTTACCATGGCAAAACTGGAAGAGTCTACAATGTTACTCAGCATGCTGTTGGCAAAATTCTTGCCAAGAGAATTAATGTGCATATTGAAAATATTAAGCATTTTAAGAGCAGAGATAGCTTCCTAAAACATGTGAAGGAAAATGACCCGAAAAAGAGGGAAGCCAAAGAGAAAGGTTCCTGGGTTCAACTGAAGCTCCAGCCTGCTCCACCCAGAGGAGCACACTTTGTGAGAACCAATGGAAAGGAGCCTGAGCTTCTGGAACTTACTCCCTAGGAATTCATGGCATGATGCGTGTACAAAATGAACTAAACTATGGTCTATAAAAAATTAAAATCAAAATCAAAAACCCTCATGTGCCGAAATTTGTTCCCCAGGTTTGGAGGTAGTGAAATCTGTAAGAGGGGAGGACTAGTGTGTGGTGTTTGAATCATGAACCATCACCCTCATGAATAGATTATGCGGTCTTGAGAGAGGGAGTGAATTCTCTCTCAGACAGAAAGGGGTAGTTCCCATGAGAGTGGGCTGTTATAAAGCTGGGTGTTTACAGGTTGCACTGACCCTTACACTTCTGATGGTCATATTGTGATTTAGGATCAAAGCCTGGCTAGATGCTGACTCCATGCATTTCACTTTACGGTCATGAGAGTTGTGACCAAATAAATCTCTATTCTTTATAAATCACCCAGTTTGGGGGATTCAGGTACTACTGTGCCACGACACAACAAGAGACTAAGACAGTGAGTCAAAACGTAAAATTTACTGTGACCAGGGACCAGCAGTTGGCGTAATGGCTATGCCGCTGGACTCCATGTAGTCGACCGTGGTTTGCGTCCCAGACCCGGTGGCTTGAAACTCACGCCGGACACGTATGCATGCGTACCCAAGATCCTGAGAGGAGAATGGAGGAGAAGGGATTGCAGCGTGGCCATCCCCCCTGGGGGGTGATTTCTTGCTTTCTGTCTCTCTGTCTCTCTCTGTCTGTCTGGCAAGAGCACGTGCCCTATGGTAAAAACCTCTCAAAAAAAAAATTTACTGTGATCGTATGGATTTTTAAAAAAAGATATCACTAATAAAAATAACTTTTTTCTGGTAAGAAATATTTTTTTTCTAATAAGAACAAAGTATGTTATTCAGAGATAAGTATTAAACTGAATATAACTCCATGTCCAAATACACATGCAGATAATTTTCCATAAGTTGAATCCCATTTACACTACTAGTTTCAAATCTGTTCATTTTGTTCTTAAGGAAAAAAAAATTGCTTCGGGAATAACTTTTCATGTAAATTAATAGGAAATCACACAGTCATTTTTATGGCTATAGAATAGTCTCTCACAGATGGGACCAGCAGTTGGCATAATGGCTATGTCACTGGATTCCCATGTAGTCAACTATGGTTTGAATCCCAGATCCAGTGGCTTAAACTCAAGCAGGGCATGTGTGTGCATGCCTGAGATTACGAGAAGTGAATGGAGGAAAAGGGATTATGGCGTCACCATCCCCCCTGGGGGATGATTTCTTTCTTTCTGTCTCTCTCTGTCTTTCTGGCAAGCACATGTGCCCTATAGCAAAAACCTCTAAATAATAATAATAATACTCCCTAATTAATTTAAACAATCCCCTTTGAAAGATACTAACTTTTTTTATGTATGTTATATTTCTGCTTGATAGATATCCTGTACTAACCTGTTTATCAGCTTGTCCAATTCTCTCCTGAAGGCAAATGTCTACAATTAGAAATGCTCGATAAGAGTATGTAGAACACATATATTTTAAACTCTTATACCTAACAGAAAGTTTGCTTAACCCACTTTGAAAGCAATTTGCCTGTACATATTAAGATCCCCAAATACCCCCTAGGGAGGAGAGGAGTAGTCTGCTGAGCTGGGGAGGAGTGCTGGTGATGAGGGACTAGAGTAAAGTGGAGAAGACTATGTCCCTGACCTAAGGGAGGGGCTGGTAGGTAACTGGAGCAAAGTTCCTAACGGGCAGGAGAAGATAAAAGCAATCCTGCAGGTTAAACGGCAGAGACGAAGGCCTTGGTTTCCAAAGATGATGAGAGTGGGATTAGCAGTCCCAAGTGAGCACCAACATGTACTTGTGCCCCCTGATATCTGCCTGCTTTGACACCTGCAAAAGCACATCTGTATGCCAAAATAGGCCCATTCACTAAGCAGGGTGATGGTCTGGATCTAGGGGCCTGAATGTCTCTGGCAGAGAGCAGTGGGTCATCAACATCACCCTGGTCCTCAGTCTCTCCAGAACAAGAAAGCCTGCAGAAAAAGACTGCTTGCCCACCAGCCAGAGAGGCCAAGACACGCTGTGAGGTGTGTTAAGGGAAGGGGAGGAGTACCAGGAGTTGTTTTGACAATTATAAATATAGCCATGACCAGTCAATTATATTACACAGTTCAAAGCAGTCTGACAGCAGGCATGTTTAATACCACCATGGAGAAACTGCAGCAACAACTGTGCAAAGACCTGTACACTACTAGGTTGTTGGGAAAGTCTTGATGTATTTTCCATGTTTTCCTATGGAAAAATACACCATGACTTTCCCGACGACCCAATGTATTCAAGTATGCACCAATGTTTGAGTGACTTTATGCAAAAGAGGACTGGCTGATTTGGACAGCTGTGCCTGAATGGTGAGGGTTGGCATCGTTCACGTAAGCCCCAGTCTCTTAGTACCTGACACCATGCTGCTAGCTTGACCAGCTGCTATCTGCAATAACTATGTCAGATGGGGCCCTGCCACTCAAGAAAGATGTAACAAGCCTACAAAGATCTTAAAGATAACCAGGATCCTTCGCTTGAAGTTTGAAAGATAACCATCTATAACAGTAAAAAACGACAGCTCCACCTTTCAGGTACAAGACAGGGACACAACATCTTTTTGCTCACTGGGAAAACCTTATTTACCTCCTGACACTACCAGTAGAGACTTACAGTGGTACTCAGGCCCTCCTGACTGGGACACACTGGGTATGCCTGTTTGATGGAAAAGAAAAGAACCCAGCAGTCAGTCTTTGCAGAGACTAGAAAGTGAGGCCACAATGCTTTTGGAAGAGCAGACAAGTGTCCTGCAGAGCTTGTGGTGCTGAGGCTCACTGCATTTGGAAGGGCTTGAAGCCAACAGAGCCTCCATTTGGAGGCACTGGTACACTGGGGAGGTTTCTAGTGCTTCTCCAAAGTGTTCTTCACATCTGAATTTCTAAGATTCCTCAACTGTCAGCAACTCTTAATTTCATATGCAATGCTGTATGTCATCTACAGCATAATGATCATCGATTCTTGACATGTGCTACTCCAACCTTGGCAGGCTAATATGCTGTGTGACATAACGTCTTCCTGTGTCTGCTACTTACACACAAGGGTGGCAATGCTTGTGTCCATGTGCAACAATTTTCTCTGGCTGTTTAGCTGTAGTAATAGAAGGGAGACCTTGCAGATCTCACTTTCTTTATCTCACTTACTTGTTCTCCTTAGGCATGTGCTACAAAGTTCCAGGGCAGGAATAAAGATCAAGTCAACATCAGGAGCCTTCACGTGAATCCTGAAATGATGGGGCCCATCTATTATGGTTATGCTACAGAGGGATGAATCCAACATACCAAGAGTTTACACACTCCTGCAGTCACAAAATTGCAAGGGGCAAGGGTGGTAGCAGGAGCAGCGATGGGAATAAGAACCAGCACAGCACAGGTGCCATGGATGTGGCTGCAACTGAGTCTGCAGATTCAGAAGAAACCACAGCACCAGCAAGAATGGGCCTTCATAGACCTAGGAGGAAGCACAGCCATGCAGGTGCTTCCAACATGTCTTAGTATCACAGTGAGGGCTGTATGCAGGTTCTTGTTCCCAGAGGGTACTTTCAATGTAACCACAAGAGCTGCGGGCCTCCCCAGCCAACTTGCTTATAAAACAGGGATTATAGTATCACCTTCAAAAGAGTGTTGTAAAATCTCAATGGGATAACCTATCTAGAATGCTTAGTGCAGTGTAAAGTACACGATAGGCACTACATTAAAATTGTTATTATCATTAGTGGTAAAGTCACCACCATTTCATTATGGGCTAGATGCTACAAGTCAATTATGTTATGGTTCCCGTGGTAATTTAACTTCTTTGTTTAGCATTTGTGGGGTGACTAGAGGAGCAAAGACTACCAGCCAAGCCTGTTGCAAAAACAGGTGAAGGTTCAGTATGGGAACACCACACGTCAACTTGAAGAGTGAAGTCTAACTGAGTGAACTGGATGGAAACCAGAGGGTCTCCTCCCGGTAAGATTCATTTTTTAGGAACAAGTCTCACAGCCCTAAATTACATGGACATTGCATCTAAGACTGGAGGAAAGTCACATCATTTATCATAATACAATCTGTCAATTCCAGTTCTCTGCTCTGATAACATACGCTACCTATTAACAGGAACGGTGGTGATGAAACTAATGGCAATTTATGATCAGGCTCTGAACTGTTTATAACTTCTTTTTAACTTAATGTTCATGATTAAATCAATATAGGACAAAATAAGATGCAGAAGATTACTTTGAAAGATGTGACTCTCCGTGAAAGCCAAAGAGAGTGTTTCTAAAATCTCTAGAATACATAACCAGGCAAGAGCAACCAACAGAAAGTAGGAAAATGTAAACAAAGCCCAAAATACAGCATGATATTGTAGTTTTCAAAACTCCAAGTTTAAATCATAGTAATGCACTCCTTAACTATGACTCTGAATAGATCATCTGTTTCTTCCTTTAAATGGTTACCTTGAAGGCCAGGTGATACAGTGGTTAAGGGCTAGACTCCCACATGGCCAACTGTGGTTCGAGTCCTGGATGCAGCGGCTTTAAACTCATGCCAGGCGTGTGTGCATGTGTGCTCAATATCCTGAGAGGAGAATGGAGGAGAAGGGATTGCAGCATGGCCATCCCCCTGGGGAGTGATTTCTCGCTTTTTCTCTCAGTCTCTCCGGTGAACACACACACCCTATAGTAACAATCTCTCAAAAAAAAAAAAAAAAAAAGTGGTCACCTTGAGAATTATATATCTGAAATAGGTAGCACAGAGTAGCACTATATAAATAGTAGTGATTAGTGATTATTATTGTCAAGAGCGCTAAAAAACATTTTGAGTTTAACCATATCTTCTAAAAAGGGTTTCATTCCCTAGTCTCCTTCATTCTTGATCTCTCTTCTAATATTTTCTCCAACTTTAATCTATCTTATTTATTTATTTATTTATTTATTTTTAGAGAGTGATTTTTGCTATAGGGCACGTGCACTCACTGGAGAGACAGAAAGCAAGAAATCACCCCCCCCACCAGGGGGATGGCCGTACCACAGTCTCTCTTCTCTCGTCTTCTCTCAGGATTTTGGGCATGCAGGCAAACATGCCCAACGCGAGTTTCAAGCCTCCAAGTCCAAACTCAAACCACAGTCAGCCATGTGGGAATCCACTGATATAACCATTCTGCCATCTGCTGGTCCCAACTTTAACCTTATTTAACTTTGAAATTATTCTATAAAAGCTCTACTTATACTAAATCTTTTTAGATTTTTCCAAGAATTTTAATTTCCCAATGTTATTTAAAATTCTAAATTTTCACAAATTTGAAAGGAATTGCTTTTTATAAAAATATCAATCTAGATACAATAGAAGGACAAAATGGAATAAAATACATTCATGAGCATGAACTCCAAAGTACCCATCTTTTGGCCTGTTTATTCCAGTTTTAATATTCATGTAGGCAGAAAAAAACTACAACCTGTATATAGGATCAATTAAAAAGTAGACAAAACTTGGAAATCAGATCAGCATTCTAATTTGGCAAGTAAAAAATCTGTTCTAGTCTAAAAGTAATCATCACATAGATAATCTCACCCCCAATTAAGTCTGTATTCTTTCAATAATATTCATGTTTCTGAAGGTTAGGACCAAGCTTTGAATATTACAGATATTTGATACATATTCACTGAGTCTAATTAAATTAAGGATTATAAATGTAAAACATAACATTTTAATCCAAAAAAAATCTAAGCATATAACAATTTACATATGAGCATAATAATTATATGATTCCAAAGGCATCAGTAGCAGACTATAAGGAAGTGGTCTTCATTAAGCCCTACACACACAGTGCTTATGGCTTAATGATTTTCAATCGCTTCCAAAAATGCTTCAGTCCTGAGACCAGGGCTTCAAAATACGAAAACATTTTACAGGTTAGGTGTTCTGGTTTTAAAAATTCTGAGGTTATATTGTTGAGAAATCACAGATGTGATAAAACTGTTTTATGTGGTATATAGCTTCATTGCAATACACTTTGTATGATACTAGAAATCCCTAAAAGATTTTTAAATGACCAAACTGTGCATTCTCTGCAGATAGAGACCAGCTTTCTTTATCTGAATATTCAAAGGGTGTTACCAGTGTAGTCCCTTGATAATCACAGAATGGGTGGTTATTAAAAGCATGGCACATTTTGCATTTCTTTTCTAACACTTCAATATAAATACTGTTTGACTCAATCTCTTTGAAACTACATATCCCTTTGGTAAATATTGTTTAAATCTCCTTCTGATTATAGATCTTGATGTTTATTACTACCAGATCTTATTATTAGGTCACAAACTTCTTATCATTTGAACCAATACAAATCTTCTAACCTTACTCCTTTTAATCAAACAGTATAAAAGATAATAATTAAATTAAGGATAATATAAAATGATTAAAAAGGCTGAATCATATGCTCAGAAAATTCTACGTAATAAGCTTAAAAATCTGAGGAGTTAAAAATTGTTGCAAATTATACATTCATATACTTATATTTTTAATAGCAAAACTATAAATTTTCAATAGTTATACAATTAAAAAATATATATGCACACACACGCACACACACGCACACACACACACACACATATAAAGATGCTAAAGGATAGCCCATAAGCAATAATATTCATAGAAACACACAACACATTCTTAAGATTTTATAGTGACAAGGACATTAGTACTAAAAGAATACTTCTGATTTGGTCTACAAAAAAAAATAGCAGAAAAGAATACTACATCTCAAGTAAATTTATAGATTTAATGCAATAAACCTATTAAAATGAAATAAAATACTGCAATTAAAATCCCAACAGGATTTTTTAACTTTTTAAACTTGACATAGTAATTATGAAATATGAATTTAAAAAAGCAAACAATCGATTCAGATAACAGTTATCATGTACCAATGAATAATACCAACACTGAATCATGTGGTGTAAAAAAACAGGAAAGCAGAACTAAACAAGATTTCAGAAGTAAATCCCAAACAAACAGGAGAAAATATAATGAAAAGAATGTTAATTATTGTCCAATAGAAAGTCATATGAAAACTAGATATCAATAAGCAAAAAGCAAAATAGAGCCATAATTAGAATTTATATTGAAAGGCATTCTAAATGAGATAAATTAAACAACGACAAAAAGCAGGACTAAGAAGGTTAATAAATTTGATTGTTTAAAAAAATTATACAACAAGGGAAGCAGGTGGCATGGTGGTTAAGGGCGCTGGACTCCCACATGACCAACTGAGGTTCAAGTCCTGAACCTGGCAGCTAGCTTTCTCACTTTTCCTCTCTCTCCCTCTGTCTCTCACTGGTCAAATAAAAATAAATAAATAAATAAATAAAGTTAAATAAAATAATTCTAAAAAAAAAAAAAAATACAACATACTTGCACACTTATACATACACAAATTAAAAGGAAACGAAAAAATTACATACTGGGAGATATTTTGTGGTAAATGCAACTAGTTAAATACCTAAGCTATCTAAAGAACCAATACATTTATTGAGGCTATAACCAGTCTTTACCAAAAGATGGCCAAAGTTAAGGACCAGCAGGTGGTGTGGTGGTTAAGGCGCTGGACACTCCCACATGGCTGACTACGGTTCAATTCCCAGACCTGGTGGCTTGCTTTCTCACTTTCCCTCTTTCACTCTTTCTCTTTGTCTATCTGGTCAAATTTAAAAATAAATGACTGAAAAT